TTGTACAATAAAATTCTTTTTGACAAAATTTGCGCCGTTGCAACATGCGCAAACATGTTCCAAAAACTAAAGGAAAAATAGTTAATTATTTTTGGGTTCTAAAACAGGAATCGCTATAAAAACTTTAGGAAAAGAAATCTAAAAAGAATGATGCATTTGTAAATCTATAAGTTCTTTATAAACTTGTACATTCAGGCAAAAAATAAACTGAACTGAAAATATTATTTCAAATTAAATCTTTCCGAACACAAATAATTTCAATTATTAAATCCCCACACCTGAATTAGGTGAGATAAATTACTTGTGCTAATGCAACAGAAAATTAGTTTAAATTAGTTTCCCATTGTCACTCCTTTTATTAAATACTTTTAGCGAATTCATTGTTTTAATTAGACAATTAGAGGTGTTACTTAGCCAGATATGGAATTGACTTATATTTAAGATAAAATGTTTAATAGATTTTTTTTTTAATAGTAAACAATTCAGATTTTGAAATATTGCTCAACATTTCTAAAAAAGATAATTTTTAAGACACTCCAGCTTTTATTTTTGATAATAGATTTAGGTAAAAAATATTAGCTAAACTAGTGAAATATTTTAGATTATTTGAAATACGTAAAAAATTTTTTAACATTTTCATTATCAATATTTCTCCCCTGAAACAACTTAAATAGTACAAGTTAAAGGTTTAAATTTAAAACATCAAGAAGTACAATTAAAAATATGTATGTTTCAATTGAGATCAATTTTTATAAATTGAAGTAATGTGCGCTCTGTATATGAGGCACTCGTTTCTCTAGTGTTGTCATTCACAGAAATCTAAGCATTTATATGATTATAGATTTGGTTAAGAATAATATGGAGATAGAAGCAAAATTCTTAGCGTGGTATCTTCTTAGTAAGAGACATCTTTAACACGTTCAGCGTCGCGTCAGCCATCGGTGGCTGACACTGAAATTACATTTAGGCTGCGTCTGCCACCACTTGCTGAAACCAGGGGTGCAAGCGAGACGGAAAAGAGGAAAGGCTGGTAGTAAAACCATTTCAGTTATAGCTAGTTTTGGGGAGGAGTTAACTTATTCTTTTTTTAAATTTTTCAAGAATATCTACTTTATCTTGGAAAAGAAGCAGTTTTATATATATGCCAGAATTATAAAAGAAATCGTGATAGTTACAGATATTTCATTTTTTTCGAAAAAAATGCTGGAATGAAATGTTTTACGTACCAGGTTTTTCTCTTTTCCGTCTTGCTATATAAGGGCTTTCACCCATGGCTGAAACTGACCTTTCACATAGGCCGTATAACATGATATAGAATTTTAAAATTTACACTCTTTCATGGAATTGCAGAAAATTTATTCAAAATTTACTTAATTATTATGATTTGTGGTTTAATAAATTAATTTACTAGGTTTTTATCCACCACTATTTCTAAACAATTCGTAGGCTTATATTATTCACCACTTTTTTCAGATATGTCATGCTAAACCCATTAAAAACTAGCAAAATCTGTATAATATTTGCAAATTTAGTTTGTAGTTATTTACCGTTGCGTTCAACGTGTTAAGATACTAAAAGTCACGACCTAGAAGAAAATTTATGATTATTATCTTTTTATATTTCTCATAAAATAACAAACAGTAATAAAAGTGTTACTATTTGTTAATCTTGAAATGACTTCTGGGAGAAAGCTCTGTGGTTTCTAGAAAATCAGGTGTGGTTCTATTTGCTTTGTTCATAATTTTCTTACTGTACAAAAGCATTCGCTATTCAATTGTTTTCCCAAATGCAAATATAAAAAAAATTCAAAATAAAAAATAATATTTTTAAAAACCACGTTTTTGTAGTGGAGAATAATAATTAAAAAAAAATTTGAAAAACGAAAAACGTGGGGCGCATGAAATACATAACAGTAATGTTATATTAGTGTGTGTATGTGTGCTCTTGAGAATATGTGTATGTATATCTGTAATTGTAATTGTATCTGAATGTGGATGTGGAATATGTTTGTGTATATGCATATGTATGTGGATGTATATGTGGCTGTGCATGTGTATGAGTAAGAAAATGTGTATATGTATGTGTATATGTACTGTTATGTATTTCATGCGCCCCACGTTTTTCGTTTTTCAATTTTTTTTTAATTATTATTCTCCACTACAAAAACGTGGTTTTTAAAAATATTATTTTTTATTTTGAATTTTTTTATTTTAAATTATAATTTTTTTAATTTTTATTTTATATTTTTTAAAAATTATTACTTTTCAATTATTATTCTTCACTACAAAAAACGTGGTTTTTAAAAATATATATTTTTATTTAGATTATTTTTCTTAGTCAAGAGTAGTCAAGACTACTACAAGACCACTACTAAAATAATAGAACTTTCATTTTAAATTAGGGATACAAAAATCTTTATAGAAAAACAATACCTTTACGACTTTCATTAGTTTTATGCTGATGACAACCAAAACAATCTGGAAATGAATGAGGAAAAACTGGATCCTACCACGTGATTTTTCAGCCAATAAAAATACTCCGACAATAAAAATCTTTTCACCTGACATGTAATACTAATTTGAAATAATGGAATCGACAACAAAAAACAATCTCGAAAATAATTTTTTTTTTAAACTTTAATTTTATTTTACTTTGTATGTCTTTTTTCTCTTCATTTTCATGCATTGTCATCCAATTCTGAACTGTGTGCCAAATTTGAAGTTTGTAGCTAGTCGGGAAGTTAGTTTAAAATCGATTACAAAATTCCACCCGGACAGACATACACGAAGGCAAGTTTATATAAACGTGGTAAAATACAGATTAATATACTGAAAGTTAGTTATTTCGTAGGTTGAGATGATGTGATATTTACAGGTTTCTCCCTTGACACTAAATGAATCTAAAGTCCGGCACAGAATGAATCTACTGCAGTCACAACGGCAAAGAATATGGTTGAAAGCGAGACGGAAAAGAGGAAAAGCTGGTAGTAAAACAATTTAAGTTTTAACTTGTTTTCGGTGGAGTGTTAATCTCTTCTGTTCATAAAAATATTCAACAATATCTTACCCAAAGTAGTAACATCGACACAGAAGGAATTTAAAGAAGTAACATCCACACAGAATGTATATAACTAAGTAACATCGGCCGAAAGTGAATTTGAAGACGAAGCATCGGCACATAAAGAACCAAAGTCACCAACATGAATACAGAATAAATCTAAAGAAGTGGCAACGGCACAGAATGAGTCTAAACGAATAAAATCTGCACAAATTGAATATAAATCAGCAACATCTGCACGAAATGAATCTAAATCAGTAACATCTACACAAAATGAATCAAACGTAGTAACATCGACGCAGAATGAATCTAAAGAAGTAACGTTGGCAGAGAATGAATCTAAAGAAGTAACACAAAATGAACCGAAAACAGTAACATGAGCACATAATGAATCTACAGCAGTAGCATCGGCCCAGACTGAATCTAAAGTATCAATGTATAGTGAAGCACCGAGAATATTTTTTGCACTACTTGGTATCAAGTAGCCGCCACCATTTCTATAATTCAGTAACACTAACAATTATAATTTGTAGGATATGATACTCATAAGAGTCAATAAAATTATTTTTACGACATTATATTAAGCAAGAAATTTTCAATTAGGATGTTTATATATCATATTTCTTTAAACAAAATTAGTTTGTTAATCAAATATACACAGAGCATAGAGAGAATATCAGAGTGAATTTAAAATAGGCATTTAGATATTATAAAATTTTTTATACCTTTGGCAGGTTTATCTATATCTTCTTATGAGAAGGTAGATATTATCTACAGACAATTAATATACAAATAAAAACATACATGTTTGTTTTAACAGTTTGATTGATTAGTTTGTCAAATCAATTCAACAAGTGAATTGAAATTACTTGGCAAATAATAGACTTCAATCAATATTTTAGTTTCATAGGTATAGAGGACTGAAGCGTACTAGGTACTGAAAATTATTTGATCATTTTGTTAACTCAATCCAAAAAAATTAAAAAAGAGATTGACTTTGACAGATAGGCAAATAATCGACTACGATCTATCGTCTTGAATAGTGCACACCGTCCACCATAGTTTAGTTTTGTTAAGTTTCGATGTCCGCCAATATAGATCGAAAATTTTAAAAAAGCTCATATATACTAAAATAATGTTCATAATTAAGAAAACTCGCTATTTGGAGCATGTGGAGTGTGCTTGAAATGTTTGTATATGCTGTACTGACTATTTTACTTACACGATGAACATTTTTGAAAAAATTGAAAAATTTCTCTAAACGCCCAAGATTTGAAATTGAGAACCAAATAATAAATCCTCTTATAAAATCCAAATAAAAAGACGAAAATAAAATCCACTTTTATTTATGCAATATTCGATTATACTTACATGTTGTCTGGATTTTTCAATGCCTGACTTTAACTTTCGAAATGCTTGAAAATTTTCATATTTTTCAAAATCTTTGATCACGCTATCTTTCATCATGCGTCAACTAGAATTTGCATTGTTTAAAAATTTTCCGGTTAGTATTTAAAAAAAAATTACTTGAAAAAAAGGAATGAGGAAAATGAAAGATAAACTGTATTATAAAATATGTTTAACTTTGTAAATACAAAAAACAAATGTTGTGATTGTAGTAAAAGGAAACTGAATTAAAGAGAAAAACAATGTCATTATCTATGCCTTTAAAAAGTTTGAATAAAGTACAATACATTATATTTTGACTAAAATGTAACTCATTTAAATTATTCATAATTTTTTCTTCCGATTTTTCTTTGAAATCAAGGGATCCAGACAAAGAACAGGGAAATAGAGACCGCATCACGGTAGCATTGAAATGCTTTATATTAAGCATAACTATTCAGTCAATCAACAATGCATTCCAAAAAAAAATTTCCTAGTTTTAACAGCTAATTTTATGTATTTAAAGCCGAGTTGACAGGTAAGATGCTAAGTAAGGCTGTAAGAACTATTGCTGTTAAGATGCTTATTAATATTTTGTTTACTGCTGCTGTTTTGAATATTGTGCGCGGTATTAATCTACCTTCAGATCCAGTTGACGTGGGTGACGGTGAGCACTTTAAGTCTTGCGCAATCTGGATAAAGTGCATATCAAAGGGTAAGAATATTTTTAAACTGATACGTAATAACTCCTAATTATTTCATATTTATAACTGAGTTGAGAGCTGACAGCAGACTGATTTTTTCAAATTTTTATAGAAATTTTCTAATGATTTGAATGTTACATAATTTTCCTTCGATTACATATTTCTGTTTCCCACTCCTCAGGAGCAGTTTGAAAGTAGAAAAAAATTGAACTTAAATCCAAAGATGTTTTATATTTGACTCCCTTTGTTCGCAAACCTCTTTGGTCTTTTTATAGGAAAAAACAATTTTTTTTAGACTGATTGATTACTTTATACTGAAAATACTTATAAGTTTAATATATGGAGTAAATTTGATTTAAGCTATTTTGTTCCATCAACTTCTACCCTGTAAAATATTTCCGTATATCTTGAAAGGATATCAACTTCTTTACAAAGTGGTGTTCCACTAAGGATTTCACTACATCAAGAAGCAATGATAGGTTTTGGTGTAGAGAAGCTTCAGCAATGATCTTTTACACTACTTGGTGTAAAATAGCAGCCACTATTTCTGTCATCATTCCATAACATAGAATTTATAATTATTGTAAGATATTATAAACATAAGAGCCAGTAAAATTATTTTTACGATACATTATTAAGTTGGATAATAAATTTAGGATGCTTAAAAATTTAACTTAGTATGCATTTACACAATCTTTCTTGAAACAAAATGTATTCATTAATTAAATATACAGGCAGAGCGGCGATAATAAAAATATGAATTTGAATTAGACTTGACATAACTGATGTGAATAGAAGTTAGATAATTTTAAATTGTTTTGTACAATTGGCAGATTTATCTCAAACTTTTTATGAAATTATAAATGTAGAGACGAAGGTAGGAGGACGAACCGGAATAGTTCCTGCGGGGATGAATACCGGCGGAGGAGCACAACTGGCGTCCAAGGCCGGGAGAGAAGAAGCTGATGTCCAGTACTTAACCCTTTCGGGCCGACTGTCACAAATACGTGACAGCATAAAACCGCATCAATCAGGTTAAAAATATAAAACTGGTAATCAAAGTATTTCTTTAGCAGTTTATTTGTGGGCGGAGTAATAATTGTTTGATTTATTTAATTCGCAAATCCTTTGTTCAAAATAAAACTATTTAGTTGTACTTTAAATTAACATTGATTATATATATGTTTAAACAAACAATAATTAAATTAAAAGCAAAGTGAGTCTGTCAAATTAGCAACGACTACATTTAAGTTACCGTTTTTTATTTAATTACAACTTGATCCTGATTTTGTACGAATGCTTTTCTGAATCACCCGTCCTCAAAGGGTTAAGGAGATGACAGTTTGCCTTCGAGAACTCTCCATCGACATCATTACAGGCGCCCACGGGCATTACCTGGGATGAAGAAGTCAATTGTCCGCTTCGCGGACAGGCACTTCGTTCTCTACTCCAGTTCAAGTTCCTTCGAGAAGGGTTGTTGTGCAGCGTCTGAGATTTCGTACCGATATTCCGTTTCTTCCCGGTGACGCCCACCTGCAGTATGAGATGTTTACAATCGAAATTTTAAAATTTAATTGTTCTTTTAATGACAACTTTTAAATGTTTTTTAACGAATAACCTGTTAATTGGAGTTTGTGAGTTTCTTGATGGTTTGTTAAAGAGGAGGTTTCATTGCCATATTGTTTCATTTGACATCTTATATTCCCATCCCCGAAACTTATACAATAAATATCTACAACTGAAATATATGCATACTTTTTACAATACTTTCATTGACTTGTTTGTTAAATCAATCGTACAAAATGATATATTTTGGCAAATAATCGACTACCATCAATATTCTCGTCCAATCAGTTAAAGAGGACTCAAACTTCTTTGGTATTAAAAAGGATTTGATCATTTTTTTAACTTAATCTGACAAAAAGATTGAAATAACTTGGTGAATAATGGATTATGATTTAGGACATAACAATTCCGCATTAAACCTTGCCCGCAATAGTTAAGCCTGGTTTATTTTTGATGTAAGGCATCATAGAGCGAAAAAAAAAGTTCATATTCGAAATAATGTTTTAATTTTATAACTTCACTCATGATTAAAACCTTATTTCGAACTCATGTCGCTGGAACTTTATGTCACCGGAGTTTTCCATCTTCGATTACGTAACACAAATAAGATCCTAATTTACTTTTTATTTTACAGAATTTACGGAGCCTTTTCAAAACCGAAAAAAACAAGATAAGACTTGGCGTAAGCTTCATCAATGAATGTTTAGATTTATTTACACCCCTTTAAATGTTTACGAACGCTTGATTTGGTATTAACTTATATTAACATATATTTTTTACTGTTTTTCAACACCAAATTTGCGTGGTTAGTAAAGAACTTTTTTTAGCATATAATATACCACTACCCAAAAATAATGAAGAGATACCAACTGCTGCTGATTCGAAAAAATATTTTCAAAAATTGTAAAGAACTATTGACCAAAATTTGAAGACTGGCGATTAATTCTGCTAACTTTTTAAAAGGGTCAAACGGCTTAATTGAAACAAATAAACGTTTCAGAATTATTCAGAAGTGGTGGTGAGTTTAAACCATATAAATCGATTTCTTAAATCAAGAATCATACATTAAAAGACACAAGAAAATTTTAATCCGCTGTCCGGAGCATGTTAGCAGCTTTGATGATAGAAGAGATACTTTCAGTCTTTGAATTTTTTTTTTTAATTTCTCAAGAAATTTTTCGAGAATTATTTTGCAATTTCAGAGATACATGCAATTTTTCATAATTTGCAATAAGGTTTATTGTTTTCACAGATTAGAGGAATCGAAAATACGTCACGTAAAAAAAAACTAATGCAACACCACCTTATGACAGAAAATCATGAATAAGCTTTGTAACTAGTGTCGATAAAATTGGTTGTTATTTGCAGTAAACTGCTATAAGTGTCATAAACTTAGTGTAAATATTTATGAAAATCAAGATATTTTTATTTATAAAATCCATTTTTTTTGTCTTGCATTTTTTTTTTATATAGCTTACAAAATATTGAATAAAATTAAACAAAATATTAAGAGCAATTTGAAATTAATGGCAAAATTGTAGTTTTAAATTTAGGAAAAAAAACTCGTTTAAAACAACAAAAGATGTGAGTATTTAGGGTAAAGTAGATCTTTAATACTGCGCATGCGTAGAAAAATGGGCAAATGTTTTTCATTGCTTTTTGGTGAATCGTATTTTTCAACTACTAAAAAAAAAGTCAGATTTGAACTTCTTGAAAATTTAAAACATTTCAAATAATTTTATTTGTGGTTTTTGTATTTTTTAAAAGTAAGCTGAAAATGATCAAGGAATTTCCATAAATTTTATTTTGAGCTACAGTTTATTAAATTTTGTCTTCTGATACAAACATGCCTTGTATATATGAACATTATGAACACAAATATAAATGCATGTACATAAAATGCATGTACATGCATATAATGGTACTATTGAATGAGCGCACGTGCATACATTGTATGCACGTACATTGTGTACATACATTGTATGTACAGTGCGCGAAAAAAAAACTCGTACCACCCCGAATAGCTCTTGTTCTAATGATCGGGTTTTCACGTTCTAGGACTTCTCTTAACCTCACTCCCGTGCATATATGGCAGTACTTTTACTTTCGTTACTTGTACCGCCGGTACAAGTAAAAAGTACGTACTTTTACTTGTACTTCGTTACTTTTTAAATTTAGTACTTTTACTTGTACTTTCGTTACTTTTTTAAGGAAAAAGTACAAGTATTTGTAACGGAAATGTCAAATGAAATCGTTACTTTTTTCTAAAACTCGGTAAGTTTCGATAAAAAAAAATTTATTAAAAAAATGCTTATGTTTTTTTAATTTATGAAATTAATTTGCAATATATATGCATTCACAGATAACTTCGTGTTTAAATACTTTGACCTTTTAAAAAATGTCATTTCGCAGTTCAAAAAAGCCGTCCTTTCCCTTTCAGGAAAGGGTAAAGACGGCTCTTTTGAACTACGAAAGGTTTCGCGATGTGAAATCGCAGGACGATTTATTGTTTGCTGCAGGTCTGGTACCTTGCATCAAATCTAATTGGTTGGAAGAAATAAGCTAGGGAGGAGGCTACAAAAAAATTGGAAAGAATTGTCCAAGCTGCACACCCTGCTATAACTAATAACGCAACAGAAAAAAAATTCAATTTTCTAAAGCTGAAAACATCATGCCAATCACCAGCGACAGAAGAATTTATGGCATACATGAGCTCAAATGTCGAAACGGAAAGCATATCAATTTTGAATCGATATCCAATCGTAAAAAAATTATATGTGAAATATAATACTGCAGTACCTTCTAGTGCTCCCGTGGAGCGCTTATTCAGCGTGGCTAAGCACGTTCTGAGAAATTCTCGCAGCAGACTCAGTGACACCACTTTCGAAATGCAATTATTTTGCAAAATGAATAAAAATATTAATTAGCAAGTTATTTTCATTCATTTTCGAGTTTTATGCATTTATTTAATACATTTTAAATAAAAAATGTTGGATTTTGTTATTACGTTTTTCAATTTTCTTTTTGAACTCACTAATAATACATTTTTGTCTTAATACATTTTTTACTAAATACATTTTTACCTAGTACATTTTTTACTAAAATTATGTTTATGCCCGACCTTGTCAAACAACGCCCAGTCAAATCTCTAAGAACTTCAGAACTATTTGTGCTATTGAAAACTATTATAATTACTATTTTAACTCTTGAAAACTCGAAGGTATTAATTTAGCCGCTGATACTAAAATTCGTTTACAAATTTTAATTATTCCGTTAGGCAGAAATGTTCGGAAAATGATTTTCTCGCATGACTTCAGCATTAGCCATTGTTACAAATAAAACTGTAGACTGTTCTGTTTCAACTTATACTGCACATTCAATTATTTTTTACTAGCTCAAAGATCACAAAGCTATCTGAAACCCCGTGTTTGCTTTGTTTATGTTTGTGCTTTTAAAACGCGTTTCTATAGAGTAAAACAATTTTAAATCAATGGTAATTTAAATAAATAAAAATAATAAACTAAAAATTAAAATCAATAGATAAAATTTCTTTTTCCTGCAAATCTATAAGAAGTTTGACATTAAAATTATATTTGATTTTGAAATTATATTATACGATTACATTATAAAATTATATTACAATATTCTTCCGAATTTAAAAATAAATTAATGTCCATTAATTTCGAAATTAAAAAGAATTAAATAAATAACAACAATTTTGCAGAAACATTAAAGAACATAAGAATATTATTCAATAAAATTTTAGGTTACTTTGAACTTTAGATTTCCTAGAAATGTACTTTTAAATCGTTACTTTTTTTATTTAGTACTTGCACTTTTACTTGTACTTTTTACTCGTTACTTTTTAAAATAAGAACTTTTTACTTTTTACTCGTTACTTTTTTTAAAAATACTTGTACTTTTACTCGTTACTTTTTAAAAGTAACGTTGCCATATATGCTCCCGTGATATTGACGGGCTGGAGTGTTCAGTAGAAATGCACCAATAAGAATAAAACTAATTCAAATCTTTTGCCCGGAAAACATTTCATTTCTCATTTTAACACCATGCAGCAGTACCAGGATATTTTTAAGGTAATTGTAAATAGTTAGTTTATTTTAAACTAGATACTAGCACTCATCAAATGCGTGTATTTGGCAAAATAGACCCTTTCATGACCGTTTTCTTGAAAATTAAACAGTCGTTAAGGAGTTAATGGCTCGTGGAGGTTATTTCAAATATTCTAATTAATAAGTGTAGACAATATTTTAAGTTATAAAATCAGACACGAAAACGTACTTTCTCTTAATATACATACTACATACCTGTTTTTACCTGTTATACATGCCTGTTTTAAATCCGGCCGAAGACTCCCCGTGTAGAAAATGGTGACCGATGCACGTTAAATCTGTCGTATCGCAAAGTCCTCCTTGTTCCCATAAGAAATCAATATCGTTGGGGGTACTGATCCAGACGTTTCCTTGTTGTCTGCATTGGTTCAAAATTACTAGGCTAGGGAGTTGAACATTAGTAGTCGTAAAACAAAAATTGAGTCGGCTGTTCAACTGTGAATAAAATAAAATATAACTTTTAATAAGTATTTTTAATTATTTTATTTTAAAATAGTTGAAGCATTTTGCATTTTTAGGTATACAATTTTCACGTCATTTTAAAGAATGTACGTTTATTTAAAAAAAGGACAAAATGTGAGCAAAATCAGTCATATAGTTGCTTAGGTCGAGTAGTTCTTGGCTTAAGTTGCAGACAATAAACTATTGACCATTAAAATTGCTGCACCAGGAAGATGGCACACCACGAAAGTGAAATTTGCCTGACGGGAAAAATATGTTGGGGTATGAAAATGATTAGTTTATTATCGCCTTCATGCATAGCAGGCGGTGGTGCAACACCTACAATGCGTCTAAAAAAAGAGATTTGGCAGTAAGTGTTTCCTACAGAAATTGAATTTAAGCATTGTTCTTGGATAAAAAAGTTTTTCTTATCCCTCGAGTAAGAAGGGGAAATGCCTACCAGCACGTGTCTGAGTTTCAGCGAGGTTAAATTGTGGCCTACCGGGATTGCGGTTTATCATACCGCAGTATTTCTGCTCGCGTTGGTCGAGATCCCATGACTGTTAGCAGAATATGGAATCGATGTGTTCATGCTGGTCATATGCAATGCCGTGCAGGATCTTAACTGTCCCCTATTACTAACAGCCGAGAAGATGCACATGTTAGCCACTTGATCCTAAGGGATGGCACAGCTGCGTCACGAAATCTGAGTCATCAAATAGGATCATTTGCAAGACAAGTGTCTGCACGAACAATTCGACAACGTTTGCAGCAGCATGAACTGTCATCACGGCGACCATTTCTTCGGCCACCCTTGACGCAGCATCTCAGGCAGGACCGCCTCCAGTGGTGTGATCAACGGCAAACCAGGACACAGGAATGGCTTGGCGTCGTCTTTTCAGACGAATCTAGCTTCGGTATACAGCTTCATGATGGCCGCATCCCTGCTTGGGGACATTGTTTAGAACGCCCATTGGCAGCTTGCATTCGACATCGCCATACTGGCCCATCTCCTGGAGTAATGGTATGGGGTGCCATTAGATACACGTCTCGATCAACATTGCCGGCACCTTGAACAGCAGCCGTTACATTTCAGATGTGTTAGGGCCAGTTGCTCTGCCTTATCTTCGAGGCCTTCATAACGCTACGTTTCAGCAAGACAATGTACGACCGCATGCTGCTCGCAGTGTTCTGATCTATCTTGACTCAGATCATGATCGCCTGTTGCCCTGGCCATCACTTTCTCCTGATCTCTCACCAATTAAAAACGTCTGGTCAATGGATTTAGAACGACTGGCACGCCATTACTCGTCAGTCACTTCGATCGATTGATTATGGCATCATGTTGAAGCTGCATGAAATACTGTACCCATCCATGATATGCACTCTCTGTTCGACTCGAAGCCCAAGAAAATAACTGTTGTTATTACTGCGAGGGGAGGCTGCTCTGAGTACTGATTCCTCAGGTTCTATTTATCCAAATATCCTGAAAACTTAATTCCTTGTTCGTCCAACTGAAATGTATGTGTCCAATAAATAGCATTCTGTTATTCGCATTCCTTTCTGGTGCAACAATTTTATTGGCCAGTAGTGTGTAATTTAATTTTATCAAGAAAAATTCTTTTCGAACAGAAATCGTCTTCCGTCAGTTATTTTCAGTGAATACATCCCATAAAAAACCAAGTTGGAACTAAATGACAATAGATAAAATCGTGTGGCATTCAGCCACACTGTCCTTATATTTTTTTAATAAGCTTAATATAACCAATACGTTTACAATTCAGTGAAAAAAATACTTTTAACCTTTTTATATTTTCTGTTTCATATAAAATCACAAAAAATTGTTAATTTTTGAAAAATATACTTGTATTTTTTTTAATTATTTTTATCAGAAGACATTTTTATTTCAGATCAAGACATGAATGATAAATTGGATTCATGCACCATGATGGTACCGGAAGAGGTATGATTATTTATTTCCTGGTACAATAATTATTAAAGCAAATTTAAAATATATGATATATAGTATTTTATGAGCAAATTTTCAATATATTGGTGTTCCTTTGTTAAATGTTCATAAAAATCTCGAGAGACTAAAAAGTAATGTAGCGTATTAGTAGTTGTTCATTTACGTCTCACTAGAGCTGTACAATGGGCTATTGGCGACGGTCGGGGAAACATCCCTGAGGATGATTCGAAGACATGAAATAACAATTTAGATCCTGGGCAGAAAGGATGGCCCCCTCACTGGTAAGCCGACGACCTGCAAGTGAAGTCGGGCACTTTACAGGCAAACAGTTTAACAAAGACTAATACCGCACACCCTCGGTCCCTACGCAGACTGATCCAAGTGATCATCGTACCGCACAATAGCCGAAACCAGTGATGCTTGACTTCGGCAATCTGCTGGAAGCCGTGTCTTAAAGATCAGTCCACAGCGGGAAAAAAGCAATGTAACTATCAATGCACATACCATAATAAACATAATTATTTAGAAATGTCTCACGCCATAGGAGATACAAACAATTTTCGTTCAAAGACAACGTATACATCAGTAAACTCCAAAGTGCTCAACTCCAAAATGTTATTTGACAAATATGGCGACTATAGTTCTGTTAGAAAAATGATCAAATTATTTTGTTTTTCGCTGTATATCTAAAACATTTAAATCAAATAAATTATTTTTTAACCGTTATTGTATTGTAGAGAGCAGTGGTGGTTCAACATTCACCTTCGAACTAGTATACCAGGTTCGAATCCCAGGGATGGCTGTGCTGGAATACTTGAGTGCAAAGAGGAAAATGCTAAGCAAGCATAATAAAAAAGCAATCTTTGAACTTACCAGAATTTTTATTAAGCAAGAAAAATTATAAGTTAACTTAGACATCACCTAACTTTATAACCCAATTACGTCATTCCTATCATCATATTGTGTTCTTTCAAGGCACTACAAATAATATATCCTCTCCCCTCATCCAACTATGGATACTCGCAGAGAGGTGAAGTGACCTTCATGGGATCGCCGACTCGGGAGTATCCACTCCTAGTTATATACCTAACTTATCCCCTTTTTATAAGCACGACAACAAGTATAAACTTACGTCAACCAGTGCTTCTGCTATTTCTCTTGTTTTTATTGCAAAACACAGTACTCTAGTCACCCACGGGCATCAATTCAGACGAAAAAGTGGAGTGCCCGCTCTGCGGGCAGGTACTTCGTACTACATCTCAGCCTAAGCCTAACATAACTTTATGAGAGAAAAAACTCCTTGAAAGTTATTTACTCTCCATAACGTAAGGCAACTAAAGTGACTCCATACAGTCATCTAAAATTCTCTCCCAATCTTGATTTTTCTTATATATATATACTTTTAATAAGTANAAACTCCTTGAAAGTTATTCACTCACCATAACGTAAGGTAACCAAAGTGACTCCATACAGTCATCTAAAACTCTCTCCCAATCTTAATTTTTCTTATATATATATACAAGCATATTTAACATTCATTCAAAACACAACATTTGTATAATGAGGGTGAAAGAAAACTTAACACTCCTAAAAATAATATGTAAATTTTTGTCTTAATTATTTTTAAAAGTTCGAAATAAAACTTTAAGAGAAATAAAAAATCTAGAAAGAAAAAAAAACACTCTCCTGAATTAATTTAGCCTTTCTCCCTCTTTCAGTGGTTTTTCGAACATGTGATTTCTGACACTCAGTTCTTCTTACTCGAACCTTGTTCTTTGAAATTCATAGTCTGGCAGGCTGGTCGATTAGAATTCGGCTCCCGGTTCGCACTGACCACAGTAATGATGTAAAATATTCTCAATGATAGGCAGATTATGTGTTAGAGTTCCATTGTCGTCAAGTTTTTCATGGGAGGTTTTCGTGGTTTTTCCACTTCATCTAACGCAAATACCGGTTACTTCCGTTAAAAAGACCTCCACAAAGGTAAACTTCTCCCAATACTTGATCCAGAATCTGATCAGAATTGTCTTTTGGATTGGGTTCAAAATTACAAGACTATGGAGTTCAGCATTAACAGTCGTTAACCCGAAAATTTTGTCCACTATTCCACGGTTATAAAATAAAAAAAAAACAGGTTTGTGAGAGCCGTGGTGTTTCAGAAGTTAAAGCGCTAGCCTCCCAATAAGGTATAAGGTAAACCACGTTCGAATCCCTGAAATGGCTGGTCGATACGAATTCAGCAGATGGCTCACACCGACCAAAATGCTGGTGTAGAATTCATTTGCATTGAATTATCTCTGGATAAGCGATCTTTATAATTTTTCTCGAGCTACAGCAAAAAACACAAAAAGTAATATTATGTATTAGGAGTAAAGCGTTCGGACTGCACTCCTGACCAAACTGTGAGGACCATATTTTCTAGATTTCAGCAACCCCTCTGCACTTTGGAGGTAAGAAGTCAGAGTTCTTCAAATGAAACGTTTATTTATCTGACAGGAGGATGCAAGTTTGTGTTTCTCATTCCCTTACATTAAATATCGTCTACACTAATTAATTACCATGTTTGAGGTCAATGCTTTGATCTCTTAAGAGTGAGTCCAAGAACGTGAAAGTTCCCATCATAAAATAAAAAGGTATTCAGGTTTGTCCGTTTTTCCTTTCTTTGCGCACTGCATGAAAATTTAGTCGCATTGGTCAGATAAATAATAAATATTTAAGATTATGTCTTTTCTCTTTCAATGCACCTTTACTGAAAATTTAAAAATTCGCAATAGCTTTATTTTTCTTATTTTTTTTTAAAGTATGGTGTGAACGCAGTAAAGCATTTCGCAGATTTTTCCTCAATGGACTGGTCCTGGGAAAACAGGGAAGCATTTTATCAAGATTTCTGTGCCATGGATGATGAAAAACAGGTATCTTGCATAATCGACTTAGTAATGTCAATTCATAAAATATAAATAGATAAGGAATGGCAATAATTATTATTGAAGCAGTTTGAACAAAAAAATTATTTAAGTTATCGCTTCAGCTTGCAAAAAAGTTACACGAGAGAATTGGAAAAATTATAAAAATTAATAAAAAAATATCTGAACTAATTTGCGGAAAATTTTTTCGTAAGAAATTTCACTGAATAAAAACATTAAAATATTGCACTGGTCCAGGTTAGACAGAGAAACAGCAATTCAAGATCAATGCCCCATGAATAAAAAACTATCATTGCGATTATTGCTTTAAATAATTTGGCAAATGACTCTCATTTCATGACTCTCTGTGATTGTACTATTTTCAGATAAGGCAGCCGATTTAAAAATTTTCAGTANTACTGAATGTTTTGACATCAGTTTGCACAAAAGCTGCAGGGTTGTAATAGGAACTAAATGTTAAAACTGATGAAGGATATCGGAACTTCTTAGCAGGAAATTTTGTATCAGAGAAATTTCATGGGAAAAATTAAAAAATATTGCTTTACAAACATTTTCAACATTTATAATTGATTTGGTACACAAAGACGAAGGTTTTTCAATTATCCTGAAAGCGTAGATGATTCAAGGAAATATTTTTGAAGATTTTCTTTCAAATCACATGAAATTACAGTACTAAAAAAAAATGGAGTACTAGACTAAAATTTCAAAATGAGTACCCAGGGAGAAGAATGGATTATTCATATAATTAGAGTCAGTTTTTCATAGGAAAACTGTCCTGGTAACAAAAGAGACCCCGCTATGCTAACTTCCATCTCTATGTTTTAGAACTTTTACTTTAGGAGGAAGCAAGAGAAATATATAAATTATTTAAGCTCGTAAACAAGTCTAATAATTATTCCATCTCTGAAACTAATTGAAATAAACACGAAATTTGTTCTCGAATTATAAAAATGGCCATGGAAACTCAAATTGACAGTGATTTAAAAGTAACAAAATTACACAATGATTTATTATAAATCCTACGTAAAACTTTATTCAATGAGTTAAACATATTTTACAATAGCAGCAAAATGACTTGAACCATCAATGGGCCAACATTCATGAATCTTGTCTCAATTAGGGTTTAAAGAGCCGTTATTTTTCCGATATTGACAGTAGATAGAATTTTCCGGCCACTTTACAACCATTATCGGTCCTATGTAAAATTATCAGATTATCCCGATATTTTATATCCATTTTTAGGAAATAAAGTCAACTTACACCCGATATTGGCCATTATAGGAGCTATTTTAAAAAAGTCTAAACATCCCAATATTGGTCCCTCAGTGTATGTTGTTATCGGACTCAGATGGATGCAATTTTGAACCCAATTGGTGCCTAGGTAAAATTGTTTCTAGGTTAATTATTAACCCTTCTTTGTATGTTTTTTTTTTAAATATTTTTTGCGAAATAAAACAAATTGATCTAATTCATGCTCTAATAGATTAAAGGAAAAATTTTATAAAAAAATAATAGCATAAATATATAATATAAAATAAATCAAAAACAGCATGTTGGAAATATCAGTAACTACGCAAAGTATATAAAAAATAATATATCTTTGAACATCTTTTTTTTCTGATGATAATTTAAAAAAATATATTATTATTATTATTCTCTTGAAACACTCATATAATTTCAGCTACATCGCGGCACCTGTCTTCAGAATTTTCGTCATCAAGAGCATTTTCTGATAGACAACCACTTTTTAAATGGTCCAANAGCATTTAAATATTTGAATGTTTTGTTGATAGAAATAAAAGTAAACTAGTGTAACATATTAAATGCTTTTCAAAAGAATGAAAGAATCAGAATTTCTACGTTTTAATAAGATGATGTTATTCCCATTTGAATTTTTAGTTTCATTTTTATTATTTTACTTCAGAATTTTTGTCGTCAAGTTTATTTTCTGATAGACAACCACGTTTTAAATGGTCCAAGTATTCTTCGATTTTAAATCTGAATCTCTTCTCAAAAATAGTATAAAAATAAATACATGGAAAAAATCATTTTCGTCATACATTCGAAGTAAAAAATATTAATGTAAATTTCTGTCTCATAAATTTCTGTCTCTGTATATTTCTGCCTCATGGTTTTGAAAAGATTATTTAGGTATTTGATGTAAATTGCGCAGTAAGTATCGTAGACACAAAAAAAAACAACCATTTTTCCATTTATTAGCGTTTGTTAGAAAAAAAAAGTCAGAATATTTATCAAAAATATTCAAAAAATCGTACGTTTCTTCTAACCACAACAAAAGGCGGAATGACAAGCTCAAACCGCCCTAGCAGCAAAATAATTAGTGCCCCCATCGGACCAATATTCACGAATCTTAGTTCACTAGTGTTACAAATTGCCGCTATTTTCCGATATTTTTCTATATATATGAAATAGACCAATATTTCCTACAGGCAAATTGGCCTATATTTCCTATTTAGAATTATCCGATTTTGATTATATTTTACAGTCACTTTAAAACCAATATCGGCCTTTCACCCAATACAGTTAAATAACCTTCGCAACAGCTCAGCCCACCTAATGAAGTCGATTAGTTCATTTGCAGCTGGGTACATATTACAACCGGGTTCCAGTCCCAGCGTTGACTCCACTATATATTTTTCCATTCTCTTCAACACTTGAAGAGTGCCCTGCACTTTNGTCTTCGATTTTAAATCTGAATCTCTTCACAAAAATAGTATAAAAATAAATATATAGTAAAAAACATTTTCGTCATACATCCGAAGTATTAAATCATCATAGTAATGTATAAGCATTAATCATCATAGTATAATCATCATATAATAGTATTAATCATCATAGCAATCATTACTACATCAGTAGTAAATTTCTGTCTCATAAATTTCTGTCTGTATATTTCTGTCTCACGGTTTTGAAAAGATTATTTAGGTATTTGATGTAAATTGCGCAGTAAGTATCGTAAACACAAAAAAAAAACATTTTTCCATTTATTAGCGTTTATTAGACAAAAAAAATCAAAATATTTATCAAAAATATTAAAAAAAATCGTACTTTTCTTCTAACCACAACAAAAGGCGGAATGACAAGCTCAATCCGCCCTAGCAACAAAACTACTTGGGCCCACATCGGACAAACATTCACGAATCTTAGTTCACTAGTGTTTCAAATTGCCGCTATTTTCTGATATTTTTCTATATATGCGAAATAGACCAATAATTGCTATAGGCATATTGGCCTATATTTCCTATTTAGAACTATCCGATTTTCCTTATATTTTACAGTTACTTTAAAACCAATATCAGCCTTTCACCCAATACAGTTAAATAACCATCATAACAGCTCAGTCCACCTAATGAAGCCGATTAGTTGATTTGCAGCTGGGTACATATTACAACCGGGTCCCAGTCCCAGCGTTGACTCCACTATATTTTTTTCCATTCTCTTCAACACTTGAAGAGTGCCCTGCACTTTCCAATTTGTAACCCTGGACTAATATAATATAATGCTCCATTCACACAAAGGCGCCAGCACCCTAAAGCTGCTTAATACAAAAACGACTGGTATTTCGCATCTCTTACGGGAGAGGAAACATTCAGATAAACAAATTAAATCACATCCCACGGTTCTTTTGATAAAACACAACTCAACTGAAACGTAACTTTAATGCCTATTACAAAACAAAAAGCATAGCTCCAATGACCAGTTAAACAATAAAAAAATACGGTTTTGAAACCATGCCAGTTGCAAATGGTTGAAAAACCGTGCAGTTTTGTATTCTTGTTTCGTTTTTAATCATACTAGTTGTACACGGTTTCAGATCCGTAAAGGTAAAAAAATTTCTTTACTGTTAACTTTACAATTAATCGATGGGCAGACTGCTGCTGTTATTCTATCGTAAGTCAGAAAAATAAAATTTTATGAGTGTGTTAGAAACGCTGATGTTAGAAAAATGTGATTTTCAATCATTGTTTTAAATTTTTATTAGTTGCTATTTTTATATGCAACAATATATTTTTATTAAAAAACTATTGTTTTTTCGAAATTAAACTAAAATATTTCTTTTTAAGGATGAAATATTTACAGAAATGGTTCAGTATGCAATAGAAGTTGGGATAGTAAGTATTGTGTCAGTTAACTAATCCCGATGTGATTAAACAGAGTTCCTAACCCTCTGCGTACGGCTCTTGCGATTTGACCGGGGTATTAGTTTCGTTACCGACTACGGGTCACATGAAAATCGAGGGCGAAGAAATTTTTTCAGCCTATTTCAATACTGATCCCGCCATTTCCCCGTGTAGGTTTAAAAAAAAGCATTATTTGATGCTTATTTTCACTTCCAGATGGCACTAGAGTTTTCATGAATTTTCCTTCTTCTCTTGATAGATTTTTTGCCCGCGTATTTGTGACTTAGCATGCTTTTTGTTTTTCTTTCGCGCGATTAGCGTTGTTGAAAGATATGGATTTGCCGAGTGTCAGCTGAGGGAATAACAAAAGAAAATTTCTTGATTATGAAGATAGTGATTCGGATTCGGTGTATTCCATAAATCTCGGATTTTCATTTCTTTTTTCTGCTTTATTACACAATTTCTGTAACATTTTTCGAGATAAAATGTTTACGAATTATATTCATCTGAAAAAAAGAATAGTGCGTGAATTTTTTCAATCATAATTCCTGCACGCTGAAATAGCAGGCACTATATTATATATTTTCTGAAAACGTAAAATCTATTAAAATTCTTATATCAATTTAAAACAACTAATGAAAATGTGAATTGTAACATTTGTAAATAAAAAATATGTAAAAAAAATTCCAAGACCGGAAAGTATAAAAACTAAGGCGGAGGGATTTTGTTAAGAATGCGAACGATAAGAAAAAATCAGAATAAAAATAGGTGAACTAGTATTTTCTTTTTGATAAAAATGCTTCTCAGGTGACTGAAATTTAAAACTAAAGTGAACAACAGGAAAAAAAGTTTAACGGAAAAAACAAAAGTTTATATATATTTCTGACAGCAAATGCATTTAAAATGCATTTGGGTCACAGGTCCGTGGTTCGATCCTCGGGCCGGGCAAGGCTGACTCAACTTTTCATCCCTTTAGTGGGTCGATAAAATGAGTACCAAGCATGCTTGGGAACTAAACACTGGGAATTCCGCGTTTAGGCTGACAACATCTGCTCTTGCACCCAAGAGCCCAAAGGTAAAGAAAACTGAGACGGGCGCAGTAGGCCTTGGCCCTCCATGGGCGGTCGCACCACTGAGTTTAGTTTAATATATGCATTTACAGGCTTATATGAATTAAGATTAAAATAATTTTTCGAGATAAAGTGAAAACTCTCGAGAACGACCACTTTGTTCCACAAAAAAATGTTAGTTAATGGAGGTCAGTAGTTCTTAGGGGTTACCTCAATTGACTTCAAAATGTATCGAAGGTAAACAGTACAAGAAAATCACCCTGAATAACTTTTAAGTTAATGATCGGATCTTTACCTTCAAGGACTCATTCTTTACCGTTCAAAGGGTGAGTATGCTATTTAATAAGCGCAGACGATATTTTATGTTACGAAATCAGACACAAAAACCTACTTTTTATGAACAAACATGTCTTTTTTCAACGAATTCGGATTCCTGACAAAAAGAATATAGGGTGTAGCCACAATCTAATCTGAGGAGTCCTAATAGTTTGGACAAGGAGAGCTGTCCAAAGTTTAAACCACTTAGAGTTAATTTTACATCCGGCGTATTTCGCTACATCTTGAGAGCATTTTAAGCGAATTGAAAAGCTTTTCCACATGATTATAAAAGTCTCTTATCCAAAAATAATTCCATGCGAAGTATAATTTTTAGTAAATATCTATTAATTTTTATTATTCTATTTAATAGAGGTCGAGATATTTAATCTGTGGGGAAATGAATTTTGAAATTGCGTATAAAATTTTTTCAATTCGCTAAAAAAGTAAAATTTTAATTAAGGGGTCCAAACCGCTCTTCTGACCATACTATTGGAACCATATAACCCATATTGAGTCTACTCCTTACATTAAGTAGGTCAGCAATCCGAATCTATTTAAAAAAGGTATGTTTATTCAGAGAAAGAGTTTTTTCTGTTTGATTTAGTAATTTAAAATATTGTCCGCACTTACTAATTACAGTATTCGAGGTCACCCCCCAAACCAATAAGATTGAGCCCTAGAAAGCGAAAATCCAATAATGGAACAAAAAGTATTTAGTGTGGTCCTTCTCTTTTTTTCTTTTTTTTCCCCTTTTTTGTGCACTATACATAAAATTTTGCAAACGATTTTAATTTATCTTAGTGTCACTTTCTTGGAACAAAAAAGCAAATTAAACGTCATGTAAACTGAATCAATGAATAAAATTTAGCTTCAATAAAAATTACCTTTACTCATATAATTATGTGTACAAACAAATTCACCATTCATAAATGGTAGAACTAATTTATATAAAGAAATAATTAAGTTTTATGTTTTAGTTTGCATTTAATTTTATATCATAAAAATTAATCAGACTTCAAAATATGAGGTTTTTTATTTGTTTGAGGTGCTTATTTTTTTTCTAAAATAACTTTTTTTTATTATTATTAAACAATCATCTCTAAAAATAAATCATTGAGAGCATCGTCCTCAGTGCACTCTCGCTATTGTTTATAAATTAAAAATTAATTAAATTTCTTATATAAATTACATTTTTTAGACCAGGCATTTAATGCACTTTCGTTCATTTCGTTATCAACTACAGATACTAAGCTACATTTATTCCTCGGGATAAATATTATTCCATAAAATTGTATAATAATTGTATCATCAATAAATCGAAAAACAAATTTAATATTAAGAGTATATAAATTTACTTGTAAATAATTTTTAAAATTTATTTGTAAAATAAGCGTTAAATGTATTTTTCTCTTAAAAAAATTATAATTTTTTAGTCGACGTGTGCTGATCCCACAAAATCTGAAGCATGTCATGGAATACAAAACGCAAGCGTAAGTAAAAGTATCACTTGATGTTATTAAAAATTAATGTTTTGTACGATCTTTAGACATAGTATTTAGTTATCCAGCAATCACTGAAGAATTATTTAAATTATAGTTCATAAAGTTTACTGCAGATTGCTATACTATATCAAATAAATTATAGACCACTTCATACAATTTAAAAAATTTTTTTTAAAGATATCCAAATCAAAAAAAAAATTTTTTTTGAACTTTTTTTATTCGAACTATTATTGAATACCTGACGCTAAATACATTGGGAAGGGGTTATAAGTACTTTATTAACTACAATAGCTACTTCAATTAAGTATTGTGACAATAATTCTCTGCTTATAGTTTCCAGAAAAGGAATAGTAACTAATTTGCAAAGAAAACATTTTTACATCCAAGGAGCCAATAGCAAGCAAACTCGCAGCAATTTTTTCTTAATGATTTACTAAGGTTGATTGGCTTAACGTTAGTCTTACACAGCAAAAATACTTGAATGATAATTTTACTTTTTTCAAAAGATTGAACATAGACAGGTAAAAAAGTTTACAAAAAAATATTATTATAAGCTTTTATTGCAAAAATTGTTTTTGAATTTTTTTCCTTTAATTGTTATAAAATTTTTTAATGATGAAGTGTTATGTTTTTACATCCGATTTCGATATGAAAAGGCTAATTAAACAAACTTCATACTCGTTAACTAGTATAGATAAATTTAAAATTGTTTCAAACTAGAATGGTTTATTTGCATTTCTTTATAAAAGTTGTACCATTAGAAATGGATTCTCAAATTTCACGAAACTTTCTTTATTTTCGACGAAACCTTTTTTTTCTTGTAGCAAACATTTCGTTAAAATGTCAAAATAACAATCGATATTTTTTTCGACGAAACGAATTGGCCAATAATAAAAAAAATTTTGTCAAATTTTTTTTACCGAAATAAAACTTGAAGTGCCAAATGCTTTCCAAATAATCACTATATCTAGGACACTATATACCTTGGTCAATGTCGCCTTACTAACACAAGACATATAGATAAAGCATAGAGTTTGATCCCCCCCCATCTTTCTTCATTACTTTATTTTCAATTGTCTTGTCTTCAAGCTAGTTTCGTCATTCTAGTAAGCAATCTCCCACGATGCACTGCGATGAGATTTCGAGTTGAGGAAACATTTTCGTCATTTTTCGTCCGTTTCGTCACATATCACTTAATTTCGCGACACAATACTCAAAATTAACGATTTATAGCTCATGGATTGCTAAATAGTCAAATAATATCTGAAAAAGTAAGGTTTTTTGACAAATGTTACTACTATATTAAAATCAAACTTTTAATGCTCTCTGGGGGTATTCTACGATTAAGGAAGCATAATCCTTGTGTATTTGAAATGTGACCTTTGTCTATTCGAATATTTCGATTAAAAATCTATTATTTCGAATGATTAATAGTTTTCAATTAATTAACATAATTAACTAATTACTATATTAATTAAAATTAATTGAAATAAATATTTTTTTCTTGCTAATAAAATGAATTACAGTTTCGTTATTTGAATACACTAGAATCAATGCTACAAAAAAGTGTTAAAATAAGTAATGTCGAGTTATGTTGTTGTAATTGTTATAAGATATTAAAAGTGTTAGTTATGCAGAGACAATAAATTTTCATTATAATATTTACGTCGTCGTGCTGACATATTTATTCAAACAGTATTATGGACTTGTTGTTTTTGTAAAAAAATTATTTAAAATACAAAAATAAAATGAAAAAATGATTGATATGAAATTTTTTTTTGAAAAGTTTTTTTTCTTCTTTTTAGTTAATTTTAACATGTTTTATTATTATTATTATAGAGCTGCGCAACAGATATATTTAACAGAATTCATTTTGAAGGAAAATGCTGAAGTCTCAAATGCTAAACATCGACATAAAATGCTCTTCGATAATGCAAATATAGAACTTCTACCACTTAAACATTTGCTGACTAATTATTTTCGAAAAAATAAAATGTAACCTTAACAAGTTTAAGAAACTTATTTGTCTTTAATTCTTTATGTGTTTCGTCCATAACAGGAATTTCTTCTCTTTCTTTCCTCCTATTTTCTTTTTTCTTTTTTTTGACTTTTACAAAATGTTTGATTTAGGAACGCTAATAAGAATTGAAATAAGTGTATAAATGCCCCCAACAGTTACATATAAACAAAAAATAATAAAACTGATTTTTTTAAGTATATAGCCTTTAGACCTATCCAGAGTTAGCTTTTTTGGATCGGTTTTCTAATCAGTTGATCAGGCACTTGATTATGACCTTATTATGAACGTCAGTATTGAAATTGTCTAATTTTAAGAATTTCGGTTTACCCATTCCTACTGGAAATGTACAGTTTTGTTTCCACAAATTCTTTTAATTCTATTGATTCGAATAAAAATATATTTAAATAAATGTTATTAGAAATATTAAATTTCCATGCAATTAGTTCATATTAAACTTAACATCATTCTTTTTATCATATAAGTAAGCAATGTAGATAGTTTCTTCTTTTTGAATAATTAAGTCCAAAAAAATTAAAAACAATGTTATCATAATGATAAGAAAGCAATAATACTTTCTCAGAATAAATATTATTTAACAAAACCATAGAATTTCGAACATTTGAGACAGTTTAATTATCAATAAATCTTAAATCAAATTTGATATTTAGTACACATTTTTTAATAGTGCAAAAATAAGTTAATTAAATTTTTCAACCGTCGCTGTACCTCAAACCCAATTTTGGATTTACGACTACTAATGTCCAATTCCATAGACTTATAATTCTGAACCCAATTCATAAGACAAGGGATCTCCTGTTTCAATTATTCTGAGAAATATTTCTTTCTTGGTGAACTTTTGATGATTAACCCGCATTTGATATACGTGGTGAGGAAAACCACGAAAACCTTCCACGGTTAACCTGACGACAAAGGGTCTCTAACCCATGATCCGTCTACCATTGAGATTATCTTACGTCAGCACTGTGGACGGTGCGAGCCCAGTGCGGAATTCGTATCAACCAGCCATCGTTGGGATCTGAACCCGGCGCACCTCATTGGAAGGCGAATGCTCTATACCCTGATCCTACACGGTTAAAGTTAATGGAAACTTTAGATCCTTGTGATATTACATCTTTCTGAATAAAAATTGTTTTCCGTCATCAAGATAATTGTTAAAAGAACGAAAAATGCGAATCAGGGTGCGTAGCCAGATTTTTCAACAAAAAATGAGCACCTTTTAAGTACTCTTCAAGTACTCAAAAATATTTTTAATCACTTTCAAAAAGAAATCATAATTAGGATTTGTGCAGCAATTAAAAATATTTTTTTCTATCGTTGAAAGTTCTTTATTTATAAACATAGAAAGAATAAAATTCAAAAACATTTTCAAAAACTCTACATAATCATGACAATATAACTACTTTTTCAGAAATATTGCAGAGAAAATTATGAAAATCATGCATTTTTTGTAATTTAAAACTGCAATCGACGCGGCAAAGAAAAACATCTGTCTTTAAAATTAAGCACTTTTTCACAAACCCCGAATTAAAAAGGCACCTTTAGGAGCTTTTAAAAACGTAAATCAAAAATTGGCACCTTTAATCTCTTTTTTAGAAACGCACCGCTCTCAGGCAAATTAATTAGAATATTCCAGTAAATAATTTTGGGATTAAGAATAATTTTATAATAATAATAATAACGATTAAAAACATTAGTTTTTAAAGTGGAATGCCATTACAGAGAAACAGGAAATAAAATGTCGCTGAAGATATAATTATGTTGTGTTTAATAAAATCTTAAATAGTTTTTGTCTTTTTTTGGTCATAATCAAAGATAAACCTTCTTTAATAATATTGTTAATAATTTTAATCAAGTTGTTATATAAAAAATTGCTATGTTTATTAAGTAGTTATTAGATTTACAAGTGATTCTTTTAAATTTAATTAGCAACGAGATTTTAGACAGATTATTAAGTATGGCAATCGTACATTATTAATTTTAATTATTAACCTCGTATCAAAAAATCTTTTTTAAATCATAATATTATTTACTTTGTTAAACTTAAAATGTTACTATTTATTTACTCCTGATTTACAAGCTCAACTTAGAATTTTTACAGAATATAGCATAATTGTCGTTAGCTTAATGTAAGCGGGTAATTAAAAAAATTCTAAAGAACTTTTTTAATACCAGGATCAGTTAAAAATTTTTTTGAATAATTACAGTTATTTACATATATTTTAGAATTAAGAAGAAAGATATTTTTAAGCTCTGATAGATTGTCCATTTCCATTTTGAAGACAGACCAAAACGTAGAAAGAATCTATTGGAAATCTTTAGATAAAAACAATTTAAAATCATTCAGAACGTATTTTAAAAATAAAAAAATATCTGGTAAAAAGATATAATCTTGGTGCTTTATAACTTTAAATTTCTCATTTCTAAATTTTCAATAATAAATTGCTAGTAATAATAATTATATGATATTCATCAATAAATTCCAAAACTTCCTCTATTTCATAATGGAGTAATTAAATGCTTCCAGTTTTTATGGTATATATCATTATAGTTAAAAATAGTTTTACTAAGAGTTTATTATATTTATAGCTTTTAATTATGTTATTATATTTTAATTGAAATTTTTTTTTAAATTCTCTAACATATTATGAAATTTAAACATATCAAGAATAGGATTCTTAAAACCAATAAAAAATTTAATTTATCTAAAGTTTTTTTATTTATTTCACTAATATTAGCTCTCACAAGAACGAAACAAAGGATTTCAAACAATAAATTAGAAAAAACAAAAGTTGTTAATCGAGACGGTTTTTAAATCTTGTCTAATTGATAACGAATCGCTCTTTCTCTCTCTCTTTCGTGCTCTTATATATAGCACCAACAGCAATAATATGCATACTATAGATTGCACATGGTATTAGAACATCCAATATAATAACATCTGTAAAATTGTGTAAATTAAACTGAAATAATAAACCATTAATAAATAGGATGGCGGAAATTTATAAAAACTAATTTTAATTGTGTTTCTGAGATATAGAGAAAAAAAAGAGCCTTAACCCTTTCGGGCCGACTGTCACAAATACGTGCCAGCATAAATCTGTATCAATCAGGGTCAAAAGATAAAACTGGTAATCAAAGTAATTTTTTAGCAGTTTATCTGTGGGCGGAGTTATAATTGTTTGATTTATTTAATTCGCCATTACTTTGTTCAAAATAAAACTATTTAGTTATACTTTGAATTAACATTGATTATATATATGATTAATCTAGCAATAATGAAAGTAAGAGCAAAGTAAATCTGTCAAATTAGCAACGACTACATTTAAGTTCCCGTTTTTTATTTAATTACAACTTGATTCTGATTTTGTACGAATGCTTCTCTGAATCAACCGTCCCCAAGGGGTTAAGGATTTTTCGCTAATTTATAACTAGGATTTTTCGCAATAAAACTAGGATTTTTCGCAAATTTTTAAGAAAACCTATTTTTTATTTAAAATAATGGAGGTTTTATTAATTTTTAAAATAAGGGGGTTTTATTAATGTGTGTTTAACAGAAACACGTTATTTATTAAAAATAATAGGGGTTTAATTTAAGACGCATTATCATGACTTTTGGTAATTGTAAAATTTCTTTGTACATAGCATTTGTACCAAAATAGGGTTACTTTTAAGATTTGAATTAACAGCTTGTTATATTAAGGAAAATTTTTAAAAATTAACAAATATGGTCAAGTTTAAAATTTAAAAAAGGCACTTATTAACAAAATCAAGCCATCTGTTATACCTATATAAAGGCAGTTTCATTTTAGGTATGATTTTATAAAACAAATTCGTGACACTTTCAAAGGTCGGAGGAAATCAGACTTCCAAAACGCTAAATATGCCATCAGATGTAAAATTTAAAAAACTAAGTAAGTAAATAAATAAATACGCCAGTTTTAGCACCAAGTTCAAATTTCTAGTAAACGCATAGCTGTTAAGGGATGCTTAAGAACATGGAAAGATATATAAAAAATTTGACGAATTATATAGCCAAAACTAATCCCAAGCTCGTGTTGTCAATATTAAATTTTAAATAAACTGGCTACAACTTAATCACCAAAAGGACCGTTAGATTTCTAAATAACCGACACATTTTTTACGTTAGAGAATTTAAATAGCTTAAAGAGAAATAAAATTAAAGATAGATTTTAATATTCGAATGGTCGCGACGCTGAATAACTAAGTTATACATTTGTATTGAATTAAAAAATTGACGCTTTCATTTGATTGCTAAGAAAATAATAAAAGTATTTAAATTCGTTTTTTTATAAAATGTTACAAAAATTAAATTATTGATTTAATTTAATTATAATAAAATTAAGAAGTATTAAAAAATTAATGTCAAGAAATTGAAGAAACTTTCAAAGCTAACAAATTGGTGTTGCTCACAGTCACTGATAAAAGAGAAATAGAAATAAATAATGTTGGTTAACTTACTTCTTATTAAAAATTATTGCTCTCAGGTGATTTTTAATTAGAATCAGGCATGTAGTACTTCTAAGAATTTTTGAGTTCTGCATGTATGTAACCACTACCCGAATGAACAAAGATGGTTCTTTCTCAGATAATAGTTGTTGGTTACTTACTTTGGCATGCAAAAATATTTCGCAACTGCTTCGAGTTAAAGAAAACGGNGACACTTTCAAAGGTCGGAGGAAATCAGACTTCCAAAACGCTAAATATGCCATCAGATATAAAATTTAAAAAACTTAGTAAATAAATAAATAAATACGCCAGTTTTAACACCAAGTTCAAATTACTAGTAAACGCATAGCTGTTAAGGGATGCTTAAGAACATGGAAAGATATAAAAAATTTGACGAATTATATAGCCAAAACTAATCCCAAGCTCGTGTTGTCAATATTAAATTTTAAATAAACTGGCTACAACTTAATCACCAAAAGGACCGTTAGATTTCTAAATAACCGACACATT